TAGCAGGCTGCGAGGTTACCCACTAGACCACCGGGGCGACCGGTTGTGTCGTATGTACACCCCCAACGTTCCATTGAATGTCTCTCCCAAGCGTCCAAGAGACAGAGCGCTCAACGCTCCTACCAATGCCAAGCCAAATGTACACAAGGTGTGACATACATCCCTCGTGTATCCCCTTGCCTCGGCATCCAGTCTCTCCGCGAAAGCTCCGACAGAAATCCATGCCTCACTTGGGATACGTTTGTGCGCATTTACAAGCACTCGTCTCCTCTTCAAGGACACTGATGGTTTTTCTCAAAACACTAATAGTGTCTTGAAGGCTGGGCAAGTGCCATGAAAATTTCGCCTCCCCCTTGTCCTCCCCCCCTCGGTGTTTGCCATCGGGGTTGGGTTTTCGTCGCTTGGCAACGACGTTGTAAAACAAGCCAACTCACTTCGTGAACTCGGCAACCAGGTTACCGTTTATAATTTTTTTTACCTCCGGTTTTTTATTGGCGGTAACTATAATGGTGGTCAAGTAGATCATGTTGTGCGGGGTCGAGAACCCTCGCTCCGCGCAAGGGGGATGATCGCACCACGTTGTGTTAAAATGGTCAAGCACCCTCGAGGCAGTTACACAGTGCTTACAACTGTCTCTGGAAGTGAAAGCACCAGAAAATAAATTAATTCATACGCAGCTGTCATCCGTACGCAAGGAAGTAAGCACAAGATGCCGAACACCCTTAGCAGGATGCAGCGCACCCTTCATGCGACTCGCCGAATATCTCACGGCGCTTCGCGCTTGGTGATGTGAGAGCCTGGTCCGGTGAGAACCCGGCGTGCTCCGTCCCGGCTTTGTAGGGATGCGAGGTCAATGGTCTAACGACTCCGGCATGCACGACCATGAGTACACCCCCCCCTCTTGTCCTTGCATTCTGCGGGGCACCATGGTTTTGACAAAATATTGTGCCCTCATAGAGGGGACCCATACGGCTTTTCTCCAGCAAACGCATCCTGAGGGCAGGCAAGTGTTGCCCCCCCCTCTCTCCTTACTTCTGCGGGGCAACAATGGTGTCCTTAAAATGATGCTACAAATGCTGTTCGTGCAGTACCCATGCGGGTCCCCGATCACCTCAATTTCGATGTCCCTCAGCGGCCCGAGGAAGAGCATGGTCACGAGCCTTCCCATGCCGATGGCCATGACGATCGCCCAGTTGCCGAGGGCTGCCTGCGCAAGCTTGTTGGTGGTGACAAACACCACGGTGGGATAGTACTCGACCCTACGCGATGTTGCGGCGGAGACGGGACAACAGACACCGAGGGGGCAGCAGATGCTGAACAACGTATGGTCCGTTCGGGCAAAAATTCACAATATTTTCCCCTGCACAAAGGTGCACTTTTCTCGGGGTGGGGGTACTTATTCCGAAATCTGACAATACCGCGTAAATCGACGTTTTAAGGCGCATCTTCGTACGGAGATTTTTTTTTTTTTTTTCGTCCTTCGCTCGATATGTTCAGATATTCAAGAAATCTTGCTTACTTTCTGGAGGGCGGTGTTTTTTGCAGACACAAAATCTGAGACCGGATTTGGACAGCTCTCGTGATTTGCCACCGATGATATTTTTCCGATTTCCAATTTGGCAAAAAATAACGGAGTTATGGGCAAAAAACCGGATATTGGAGGGTATTTTGCTTAGTTTCTTGGGGACAATCCAACCGTACGATTCAAAAATAAAGTGCTGCAATCGATTCCTCTCGTGATTTCCCACCGATGATTTTTTTCCGATTTCAAAAAAAAACTCGGGTTTCGGAGATATTTCGGGTGGTTTCACACGCCCTCGGGGAATTTTTTCCCGCCACACACACACCAGAGGACACACACACACACACCCTTTACGCACGCAACGAAAGACGCACACGCGCTCCGGGCACATGGGTCGCCCAAAGGGTAAGCGCAAGCTGCCAAGGAACGCCGACGGCACGATTCGGAAGGCCCCTTCGCCCCCTGCGGACCCTGCTGTAGGCAACGACTCTCCTCCCTCTTCCGACCATGAAGGCGCCAATATTTCTCCCATGCACACCAACGACCACGACGACGACTGGCCCCACCGCCGTTCTCATCGGCCTGCCGAAAGGAGGAAAGCAGCTGCTCATGGAGATGGGGCTGTGGGAAGGCGAGCCAACCCTACGCGTTCACGAGTGCAGCGCGTGCAGGGCGGAAAAGGCGGCAACAAGGCAAGCCATTACCGCCTTCAACCGCGGTGGAGAGGGGCGGCAGCAGGTGGTGGACAACACGGGGCAGGGAGAGGAGGACGGCGGAGAGGACGGGGACTCGGGTGGGAGCGGGGCAGCTGGTGAAGCAGGCAAGAGGCGTCGCTGCTGCGTCGTGCGCGTTCTGTCTGAGCTCAAGGCGTTCAGGGAGGAGCTCAACATGGTTGAGAAGCTCTTCAAGGCACACGGGCACCTGTGCATCTTCTTGCCGAAGTACCACCCAGAGCTCAACGCAATCGAGCGATACTGGGGGTACATCAAGCACCTCCTCCGCCTCCACTGCGAGTATTCCCTTCGCCACATGCTCCAGGTCTTGCCCGGCGCGTTGAGCGGCGTACCCGCACGGTTTATCCGCGCATGGAGCAGGGTGACGTGGCTGTACATCGAAGCCTACGACGAGGGCCTGGAGGACTACCTCGAGTACCGCGATCTCAAGGAGTGGGGGAAGCACCGAGAAGCCACCGCCAGGGGAGATGCCGTGATTCAGGCGAGGGGGGCGGGGAAGACGCCGGAGCAGAAGAAGGCAGCCGAGGCGAAGGCGCTTGCGGCTGCGCAGGAAGTGCGCAAGAAGTCGATGGCAGCGACCAGGGAAGCCTTCAACACGTGGACGAGCAAAAGAGCCTCCCGGAAGGAGCAGCTACGGCTGTGGATTTTACGCAACACGATGAATTTTTTGAGGAAATGGTTGGGCGGGCACGCTCAGGCGTGAGTGGGGAGGGTACGTATCTATATGTCGCGGTGTGTTGTAGTGTTGGTTTCTCGCGTTTAGGCGCGGAAGAGGCGTTCGTCATGGTCAATAACTCAACGCTATAGCTGTCTCCCTTGGTATCGGACTTGCTTAGAGGGAACGGATGTGATTGCTGCATGCTTTGTTTGCAGCACCTTCACCAGCCAGGGGTTGAGTAGAAAGTAAACGGCGGTGTTGTATGTATGTATGTACATATGTAACGTCTAAATAATGTAAATATGGGTTGACAACGGTTTAACTCATGTTCTGAAGGCATATACGTGTAGAAGGGAGGGGTTGAGGGGGGGTCGTGGTGTACTTCGGGGGCTCCGTGGGGTCATGAGGGGGTGGGGGCTCCGTGGGTCATTTGATCAAAAATGTCGCATTTCACCCAATCACCAAAAACTCATCGGATATCGACGAAGCTCGACGCCGCGGTCACGCCCAAAGTTGTTTCACTTTCCAAATCGTTTTTTTTCGAAAGATATCGCGAAAAACAAGACTGTAAATATTGGCCCGAACGGACCATATGCGTTTTCTCAAGTGGCTGTAGACAGTGCTAACCGGCTGACCGATGACACGATCGTCAGTCTGTAGCACGACAAAACACGCAAAGACGCATTCCACATCAAAGAGCTCTGCCGACACGGGAGGCGCAGGAGTTGTTGGACACCGTGAATGTGTGCGTGGATTCCTTGTAGAGGGCTATTTACGGTCTACTCGGCCAATCAGAGGGCGTTAAAGTCCGAGACAGCAAGAGTCACGAAGAACAGATCGTAAAAACTAGTACTTGGAAAATACTACGCCTTCGTACAAAATGCAGCGAGAAACCGGCGGATTACACGAGAAGACGCCAGAAAGCCAATTTCTAGTCCACGGGTGCCCCCGACAGGGATGAACATGGTGATGTCGACAATTGACAACGGAACTACGGGAAACCTATGCATACTTGTGAGAAATGTGTACGTAAAGATCAATCTACACGAACTCTCGCTGCACGCGT